TTTATATACCATTTATTAAATAATAATTTAGAGAGAATTTTTACGCATCACTTACAGCGTTGATTCCATATTTGCCCTTTTTGCAATTTAATTTTTTATATAATCTTTAGAAATAATTTCATATAATCTAATAGTTACTTTATTCCTCTCTTACTGATTTGAAAATCCTTTTCCAGGATTAAAGTATACGCATTTATACGTATCTCTGAAGTAGAATCTATGTTGAGAATAACAAAAAATTTCGGGGATCTTTTTTACCATTTCTTGCAATTAGTCTAATGTGGCGTTCCAAAATTGTCACATCATGACAATATTTGCTTCATAAAAGCTGTGCAATTTGTATTTACGAAATATTATAATAGTCCACAGACTAGTAGTAGTTTACATGAAGAAACAGCGTGGAATTCTGAAAATTGGACTTAGATAACTCCATTAGCCCCTTTTGCTAAATTTAAATTTTTATATAAAATTATAAGGAGTCCAACTTACTTTCTTAATTAAGTATATTTATTACTTAGAAATTATATGGTTTAATCGGTAATACAGATGCTTTAAGATCCCCTGAAGTACTATTAGTAGAAGTATTACAAGAAATACATATTCTTATATAATGAATTGTATAAAATTTTGAAAACAATTTAAAAAATTTTCGCTCTTTAAAAAATATTCTTTTTAAATTTTTTGTTAGTCCGTATGGAAAGAAACAATTGAGTATCTACTATTGAGAACTATTGAAAAATAATTATTCAGAACTATTCAGAAAGAAACCATTTATATTGTCAATGTAGTATTATGAGACATTATCATTTATTATTATTAAATACGAATAGTTTACTACTCAAGCGAATAGTAATTACAGGCATTTACGTTCATTACTATAATATAACAAATGATACATGCCTGTAGTTACTATTCGCTTCAATAGTTATGAATAATAAAGGTCTCATAATATTACATGACATAGTTTCAAGGAGCTAATGAAAACTATTGTAAAATATAACTCAGAACTATTCAAAGAACTATGTACGAATGTCATGTAATATTATGGGACCTTACTATTTATAACTATTGAAGCGAATAGTAACTATTTACGCATTTACTGTTAGAATGTTACTATTAGAATAAATAGTTTACTACTGTTACTCACCAATGTGGAAATTGTGTACACTTATTTAACATTGAAAAATATTGAACATTTTTCTATGTGTTCTCAAAATTAATTTTAAGAGTTGAAATCACCTCTCAATCATCCTCAAAAGTGTTATCTCGCCATGAGAATTACTCCGAGCATATAAATAGCAACGAACTATGTTTCCGAAAATTGTAGAATTGATAAAGAACTGAAATGAAGTCTTTATCTTGATCTTAGAAATATCAAGATCATTTAAAAATCAAATTGATTTTTTCATCCTTCAAAGATGATCCTTCAAAGAAGATTACCAAAAATAAGACGAAAATCAGGATTTAATGAAGCGACATGACTCCAATAAATGTATAAATGCCAGTACTTGTGCCAGTACTTGTGCTAGTAAATTCTGAACTAATAAATATCAAAAATATTCATCTAAAATCCATTCTTGGAGATGGTTGAGGGATGGTTTTAATCCTTAAAATTAATTTTAAGGAAAAATATATAAACACGGGTTCACTATTTTTCAATGTTAAACAAATGTGAATAATTTCATCCAGATTGGTGAGTGACAGTTACAAACAGTGTTACTTATGAATACTATTGGGGCGAATAGTAACTATAGGAATTTACCATTCATTATTACGGATTAGAATCATTGAATAATTTACTATTGGAGCAAATAGTAAGTAGTAACTACATTTTAGCGATTTTCGTGAAAATTTAGTAGTATTACTTCCCAGTTCGCAAATATCCTGATATTTTATTGTATTTAGTTAGGTAGTAAGGATGAATTAAACGGTTATTTTTCATTAACGATTAAAACAGTTACTGTTACTTCAAAATAACCGGTTACTTAAACAGTTAATATATAAACGATTATTTTTTATAGTATTCTGTAACCTAGTCATCCCTTTTTTTTCATTATTTCTCATTATTTAAATCATTTAAGAAATCTATTTAAAAATATTTCGTTATTTAAAATATTTGTACAAACAAATAAATGTAAAATATTAAATTTTATGCATAAAGATTGATGTCAACTTGGTAATGAGTAAAGTCAATATTACATACGTCCGTTTTGTTCAATTAATTTATGTAGTCGCGAATAGTTATTTTTCAGAACTATTCGTCAACTATAGTCGTAGTTATTATTTAATTACTGTTCAATTACGTAGTCACAAATAGTTTTTCAGCACTATGTGTTGATAGTCGTAATTACTATTTAACAAGATTGTTCAAAAAACATGTTTTTTTATTTTAAAGGAAAAACATTGTTTTTTTTTATTTGGAACAATGTTTTCTGTTTTATTTTGTGTTTTTTAAGGAACAAAAAGACATATTTTATACAGGAGGAAAACATGTTTTTTTTAAATGTTTTTTTTGTTGCTTAAATAAACAAAAAATATTGTATGAATATTTGAACCTTTCGCCATAAAAAATAATATATAATTGAAAGAGTCAGTTATTTTTATTTATTATTTTTATTTTTTATCACTGCTAATATGATTCTTGTGTAAGCGTCACTGAATGCTTTTCCAAAGTATACGGATTGATAAATCAAGAATACTGGTTCATTCAAAAACTCCGTTCAAAATTTATCTTTTTTCTGAGGAAGCCATTAAAAATGTTAAATCAATAATATGATGACTTGCGCTAAAAATAATATCAATGTTGTTATTCGATTTGGTAATATAATTCCATACAGTTGCTTCTTTTACTGACATAAAAAGATTGTTTTCAGTTTTTGGGTTAGTGCACCACAAAACTAAGAAACAAATTAGGCACAGAAAAAGCTTCAAAATTAGTAACAATTTTGAAAGCATTGAACAAAAAGCTAATCTAATTGAACATGAATATTGAGAATTGAGACTGAGACTGTATAATCTGATCTGTTTTAAAAATTTTTATGTTTATAGTTATTAGTAGAAAAAACTACTACTGAATGTAGTTTATATTCCGTTAAAAGATTTAACGAATTTTATTTATATGCTTGTAGCCTATATATAGTAGTATTAGTAGTAATATATGTACATATAAATAAATAAATAATTTTTTTGCAACATATTTACATATTATTTTTTGTTTCATTTTTACAATTTCTTTTCCAAATATTTTAATTGCAGTATTTTTAAACAGGTTTAATTAACAATAGTTTAAAATTATTTAAAACAAAAGTGTTTTAAACATATTTTAAACAAACCATTTTAAAAGCGTTGTTTAAAACATAACTCTGCTATTTAATTACTGTTCAATTACGTAGTCGCGAGAAAAAGAATAGTTACTATTCAAATAACTATATAAATTGAGTAACCATAGAAATCTAAATAATACACAATAGTTCTCAATAGTTCCTTTCCATACGGGGAACCATATTAAAATAAGTTAGCAAATAAGTACGAGCATCGTATATAATTAGAAAATTTATAATTAGAATTTTTATATGATTATAATTAAAATCGTAACTATAATACTAAAATATGATTTATTCTTATGTTAAAATTAAAGAATTGGTTTATTATTATTTAAAGGAGACAAGCACTTTCATATTATTATTCACAGTTAAAAAAACTAGACTTATATAGGTATATTAATATAGGTAATTACATCTACCTATATGGTAGATCTATATAAGTATATTAACATAGATGTCTTTTGTATCTAATTGTATCTCTCTATAGACAGATCAATAATAATTATCAGTATTTTTTAACGTTTTGGATTTTCAAGATCTAAGACATAGCATTGTTAAATGTTTTATTCTAAAACATTTTAGCAGCAGAATATTGACATAACAGTACTATTTTAATGATAACAACACAAATTTTGAAATTATGTCACCATTATTAACGCACATTATGCGCTATGATTAGCTAATACCAAATTGCTTTTCAAAACAGAAAAATAATGATGACTCATAGCGTGTACAGAAGTATTTAAGAAATTTAGAAAAAAACAACAAAGAAGCTATCAACATTGGGCTTGATAACAGGACGAAAATCTGTCAATATAAGTCCACCAATATGGAGAAGCTCAGACCTCAGTTCGGAAACCCAAAACACTCTGATTTTTTTCGTGTTGTGACTTCTTTCTTACAATAAACAAGGTATTCATCCAAAACAAAATTCCCCGATGTATAACTTTATTGACAATTATTGACAATTATTTTGGTTTATTGATAATTATTTTGTTTTTGTACTTTTTGCTGCATATACATATACATATACAAATTACATTTTTTACAATATATTTTCTATCTCTCTATTCATATCTTTTTTATAAAAACATGCAATGGATAAACCACGATGTTTGCCTATTCTAGAATGCAAAATTCGTGTACCAAGATGATAGTCGAAAGCCGTAGTTGATATAAAATAATTGCTCTCAAAAGATCTGATCTAATGAATTGTAACAGCTTTTACTATCAAATTTTACTAATCGAGTAA